AATGTGGGGATACAGAGGAAAGTGAGGTGCCTTCCCACAAGTCCTGGAGGGTTCCATATTATGCAAGTGGCCCTGGCCCAGCAGCCAGCACCATACAACGATGCCCTAGTCTTCCTAGGCAGAGGCTGGTAGGGGGAGGGAAAGCTGAAGACCGACAGGTAGGTAAAGGTAGGTTGGCTGTTGGGTAGGAAGGAGAGGAGTAATCAGGAAAGGAGGAGGGAGGCTATGAGGGCTTTCAGGGAAAAGGAAATAGTGGGGGAAGAGGAAATGAGACCCTCCCATAAGTCCTTGGGAGGGGGTCCTACTTGTAATTTACTATAGTTCTAATTCATAATGGTTTGGATTTATCTAGCTTCTCTAGTGTTGAAAAGTGGAGGAGGACCCTTGGACCACCAAAAGTGTGATCCTGAGGGTCATAGGACCTGCATGGATGAAAGTTGGGTGGGACAAAAACTACAGTAAGAAAGAGAATTAGGAGAGATTGCAACACATTGACCAGAATGTTCAGCTTGAACGTAAAATTTGGGGTTATTCATCCACTTGCAATACCATGTTTAACAAAAGCCCAAGCAATAGTTCTAGATTAAGACATCATCTTGTGTAAGTAACACACAGCAAGCTGATAGGCATGTTTTTTTCAGAATTGTCCCACACTTTTTTCTTTTTACTTTCTGTCTTTTTTTGCTGTTAAGTCACAGCTATGGAGAACCCATGGGATTTTCAAAGCAAGAGATGTTTGGAGGTGGTTTGGCCATTGCCTACCTCTGCATATCAACTCTGGACTTCCTTGGTGGTCTCCCATCCAAATGCTAACCATGGTTGACCCTGCTTAGCTTCTGAGATCTGACGAGATAGGACTAGCATGGGCTGTCCAGGTCAGGGTAATCATACTACTCCCCCCCCCATAAATCCATAGAGGAATATCCACTAGACCTGACCTAGACAAGGGTGAGTGTGGAGGACACATTGCTCATGGTTTCAAAGACCTGTCAGAGCTGGATTGTAAAAGTGTCTCTCAGATCCTCAACTAAACAAAACAACGGCTTGGGGCCTAATCTTGATGTTCTCTTCTGTCAGTGCTTTCCCACTATCAGACTGGATACTGTTACTCATATTACTGATCGCAAGTTAAACGGTTGGCTTGTGTCGGTGGACAGATTTCAGCCATCCCTCCTTCTTGCAGGGGCTTCATCCAGAAGTTTGTTTTGGTTCTGAACACATGAATATGAATAAGAACATAAGAAGAGCCCTGCTGGATCAGACCCATAGTTCATCTAGTCCAGCCTCCTGTTTCACACAGTGGCCAGCCAGCAACAGGGCATAGAGGCCCAAGACTTCCCCTGATGTTGCCTCCTGGGATTCAGAGGATTCGTGCCTCTGAATGTGGAGGTTCCCTTCAGTCATCATGGCTAGTAGTCATTGATAGTCTTATCCTCCATGAATTTATCTAATCCCCTTTTAACACTGTTTATTCCTTTGGCCATCACTACATCCTCTGCCAGTGAATTCCACATTTTAATCACTTTCTGTGAAAAGCAGTATTTCCTTTTGTGCATCCTGAAACTACTGCCCATCAGCTTCTTTAGATGCCTTTGAGTTCTACCATTTTGGGAGAGGGAGAAAAAATTCACTTTGTCAACTCTCTCCACCCCATGCATTATTTTATAAAACTCCATCATGTCCCTCCTTAACTGTCTCTTTTCTAAATTGAAAAGCCCCAGACTCTTCAGCCTTTCCTCATAGGGAAGGTGCTCCAACCCCCTAACCATCTTGGTTGCCCTCCTCTGTACTTTTTCCAGCACTGCACTATCTGTTTTGAGACACAGTGACCAGAACTGTATTCTAAGTGAGGCTGCACCATAGATCTATACAGGGCATTACAATATATATTTTTAAAAATAGCCTTTTTATTCTTAATCCCTTTCCTAATAATCTTTAACAGAGTTTTTCTTTTTCACCACAGCAGCACATGGGGTTGACACTTTCACTGAGTTATTCACTACAACCCCAAGATCTTCTTCCCTCTCAGTCTCAGCAAGTTCAGTCCCCATTATCCTAGACTTGAAGTTGGGTTTGTTTTTTTGGTCCCAGTGTGCATCACCTTACATTTACCAGTCCAGGGCTCTTTTTGTAGAAAAAGCCCAGCAGGAACTCATTAGCATAATAGGCCACAGCCAACAGCAGGAACTCATTAGCATATTGGACCACACCTCTGACAGCACAACTCATTAGCACATTAGGCCACACCCACATGTTACCAGAAGTGTGGTTATCCAGCCACACCCACCTTTTGCTTGTTATTCTGTTTACCTTGTTTGTTGTCAAAATCCAGGGCCTTTTTTTGTAGCAGGAACTCCTTTGCATGTTAGGCCACACACCCCTAATGTAGCCAATCCTAATGAGTTTCTGCTGTTGGGTGTGGCCTATTATACTATTGAACTCCTGCTGGGCGTGGCCAACTTGGGAGCCAGCAGGAACTCCATTCCTGTGTGTTCCTGCCCCAAAATAGCCTTGTTTACCACCATTGAACTTAATTTGCCATATTGTCACCCACTCACCCAGTTTCTGGAGGTTCTTTTGGAGCACTCCAAAGTCATCCTTGGTTTTTACCATTCTGCAAACCTGGCCACTACACTACTCACCCCTAGTTCCAGATCATTTAGGAATAAATTAATGTTTTATTCTGAATCAACAATTGGGTCAGTGTGAAACCTAGAATTGTATATTATTTATTTATTTATTTATTTATTAGATTTTTATCCCGCCCTCCCACCGAAGCGGCTCAGGGCAGCTTACAACAATTAAAAGCCAATAAAGATTAATGCAGTACATCTAAAATAAAACAGCCAATATAACTTATTAACAATAAAATTACAATTAGAGCATTACAGTTTGCACATGGCGGCCGTCCATATAAAGTGCTAGAGTGTTTGATCTGGGCTGTTAAACGCTTGGCGGAATAGCTCAGTCTTTACCGCTCTGCGGAATTGGTGGAGATCCCGCAGAGCGCGGATTTCGTTCGGGAGCTGATTCCACCATACTGGTGCAGCTAAGGAAAACGCCCTGGTTCTCGTCACTGTTAATTTAGCGTTCCTAGGGCCAGAGGGGACTAAGCGATTCTGCGATTCAGATCTCAGTGCTCTTGGGGGAACGTACGGGGAAAGGCGGTCCCGCAGGTAGGCAGGCCCCAGACCATAAAGGGTCTTTAAAATATTCTGGCTCTCCAAGGATTAGGAGATCTACCCAAGTCCTACTATCTAAATCCTTTTACCTGGAGATGCCAGACTCAGAACATATTAATCATAAATAATCATAAATTCTGATATGGAGGATTCCAAGATTTGTTGCCTACTGAGAGAGCTGCTGGATTATGGGAAATTTCTCCATAATGATACAAGTACACTTTAGAGGGTATATCTTCCTGGAGGTGCAAGTACACTTTAGAGTGTATATCTTCTATCTATGATGAGTTCTTCGTGGATTGGGGTGCATGCATTCAAGGGGGCTGTTCTTTAACTGTTCTCTGTTGAGATCTATTGAAACATATATTACAAATACTACTGAATTTAAGCAACACACTTAAGCACAGCAAATGTTTGATGGATAGGCTAAACTTTGCTGTTTCTGGACTGCAAATCTATGGCCTTTAAGATCACACCTGCATGTGAAAAGCTCCCGTCAGGCATGTGCCCATGAAGCCATCTTAGGCAAGCTACTGTTCTCTCTGCAATGTGCTGGTAATGATACCAGCCTACTGTACAGGGTTGTTGTGAAGATCTTTGTTTTAATGAATGTGAAGTGCTCTGAGTAGTCCAAAATACTATATATTATCAGCCACACAATTCATACTACACAAAGTCCAAGGATGTTTCCCTTTAGAGTGCTTTGATTTTCAAGGTGTTGAGTTAATCCATTATTGAATCTCCATGTGTTTGTTATTACAAAACTTAATGTATTGGTGATGGTCAGGGTCTGCATTAGTCCCATCTGCTCAGAGAGATTTTAGACTTCTGTTTCTCAAACAGAAACTCCCATTGCGTCATGGCAAATTGCTCTTGAAATGGAGAGCAAGCTAGGCAAGACACCAGAAATCTCTGAACAGCTATTTTGTTGATATTTTTTGTTTCATTTTTGAAATGGGTAGCTATGGGAACAATGGGCTGTGACTGTTAACCCTTTCTGCAGGACTACTTTCCTGATGTTGATGAACCCCATGGACCTGTTCTTTGGCCTTTCAGGGGAAATGTGTGGGGACCTTTTTTTTTTTTGGTCCTGTGGAGTGCTGATTTCAATCAGGGCAATGGCTGATCCACCTCTCCCAGGCCTTATCCCTGATTTAACACTCCCCCCCCCCCATACCCTGCACTCCTTAAAAACGCAGCAGGAGATCTGCTCATGGGTCTTTGAAGACCACGACTGGTGGTCAATGCTCCCTCTAAGCTGTGGAGTCTTGTGAACAAAAATTCTACTTTGTGAGCTACTGGCATTAAAGTTGTGGGTATTTGGCTCCCTCATAAATGAGTTTGCTCTGAGCTAGGACAAAAATGTGTGAGCTGGAGGCTAAAAAACGGTGAGCTACCTCACACTAACTCAGCTTAGACGGAACACTGCTGCTGGTGGGCACGCCAGTTGTTTGGGGAAGGAAGGGACAGTATGTTGAAAATCAAAAGGGTCTCTATAATACACCATTTTTTCCATGTTTAAGAGTTCCTTGTATTTTGTCTAATGTCTATTCCCCCCCCAAAAAAATAACATTCTATTTAGATCTTTCATAATCCCACTCTGATGTAATTATTTAAAATTGTAACAACCTACAATCATCACCAAAGCTTAATAAGGATGATATAATAATGCTTCTAAAGAGTAAGACTAGTTTGTAGTGATAGATTTTATATACATAATTTTTTTTTGAATGCCAGAGAGCAATGAATCAATTTCTTTTTCTTTCTTGTAAATGTTTTTTCTCTCTCTCTCTTTCTTTTTAAAAAAATGTTTGGCAGGTTAATTTTTCAGAAGGAGGCCCAGGCTCCAATTCCACCGGAAGTGAGGTAGCATCCATGTCCTCTCAACTCCCGGATACACCCAACAGCATGGTAGCCAGTCCTATTGAGGCATGAGGAACATTCCTTGTGATGTTGTGGTCTTTGAAGTCTTTTCGCCCCTGCTGGAGAGAGTGGGAAAGCTACCACGTTTGGGGACTCGAGAGAAAAAAAAAAGTGTTTAGAAAAAGAAAGAATGGAAAAAAAATATTTAATACAACCTTGTTCATGAACCTAAACAAAGACAACTCCATGAACTGTCTGGGGAGTTTTGTTTTGTTTTTCCTTTTGCAATGATAAGGTAGCAACACTGTGAAGACAATCATGGGATCTTACTAGAATAATATTCAAAGAGCAAAGGAAAATGCTTTTTTTTAAAAAAAAAAAATACCCACGCAAAAGGATCTGAGGAGGAGGATCAAGGGGAAAAAAATAAACAGACGTTTGAAAAACGTGAAGGATCCGGTCCTGAAGATTTCCCACCTTTTCCCAGATGGTACCCTTCAGCGACTGCACATCCTCGAGAGAAAGCCTCGTTTCCATCCTTAACCCCCTCGGTGCTGTTTGTCAGCTGGCCTTTCCCCTTGCCAAAACCAAAACATACTAGGGAAAAGAAAACACTTCGGAAAGGAGTTCTTATAGGTTGCTTCCCCCGAGATCAAGAAAGGACAATCTATAGCCCCTCCAGACAGAACGAGCCATTGAAAGGAGGAGGAGCTGCGAGTGGTTTGAAAAAGTGCTGGGGGGTTTTTTGGTTTGTTTTGCTTTTTTGGTTTTTTAAAAATCCCCGTTGACTCCAACCAGGGAGGGGGTTGTGGTCTCCGACTAGCGTGCACTGTCGCTTCTTCCCCCTCCCCACCTTCTTTTTGGGGTTAGGGCTGGCCGAGATCCCTCCTGTCTCCCGAAGCCTCCAGTGACTTTCGAGGTTTTTTTTGGTTTGTTCGTTAAAGGAGGAAGTCGTGTGCGTGTGTGTGCGTTGGGGGAGGGAGCGTTTTACATCCCAGTTTAAAACTTCTTTTGCAACCAGGTATACCTCTTTTTTTGGCCACACACACACACAAATGGTGTCTCTCGGGGTTGTGTTTTTGACTGGCGTCGGCTCAATAACATTCCCTCTCCCTTCTCCCCCCCCCAAAGATGTGTATAGTTCTGTTTTTTTCTTTTTTTAAAAAAAGAAAATGGACTGTTTCTCTCTATATCTCTCCCTTTCTCGCTCTCTGGAACCGAGAAGCGGGGGTGGGGGGGGATAACTTTTGTTTGCTCTCTCGCATTGCAAAAATTATAAAAATAATTTATTATTTATTATCCGAAGACTTGCTACTTTGTCCTGTCCTGATTTGCTTTTAAAAAAATGATGGGGGGGGCGGGGGTGTCTTTTGTTTGCTGCTTTGTTTTCCCGTTTGGTTTTTGCTGAAGCTTGACAGGAAAAGGGCACGATCCGCGCCGGGGACTTCTCCTCCGCAAGGCCTTGCAAGACCTTAATATCTTGCGCAGGAAAACTTCCCAGGAAATTGTACCCAGAAGGGGGGGGGGGAGAGAATGAAGAAAGCTTTCGACCGCCGTCTTTGCAATTTATGTCCAATTATATGTGGGGCAATTTTTTTTATTTTGGAGGTTGGTCCTTTTTTAAAAAAAATCCCTCTCAAGTATTATGCGAAATAAAAGCGCCGTATGTAGAATGATTATTATCTTCAGGAGTATTTCACTAACTAAACGTTTGGTATACAGAAACAATAAAGTAATTCAGAATAACGATCCAAGCACCCTCTTTGATATATATAATATGCCATAATATTATATATAAAGTTTGTTTACAGGTTAGCTGCTAAATACCTGTAATCAAATATTGCCTGAGATAAGGAGGGTGCAGTACTTTATTACACGTATTAACCATCAGCTTGTAAATATCAATTTCTGATTTCTTTCCAGGGTTAAATACGTAACTCAGGCTCTGTTAAATTGATTATTGCTGGACCAAGGCGGAGTTTACGGTGCACTCCCAGGACATTTCCCCGGAAGTAAGGCCCATTGAGTAGACCCGAGCAGGATTCTTGAGTAGACCACCTTAGTCTTGCTCCTCTTCTCTCTGCTACTTTTTGAGTAAGGCTGTTGCAGATCCACCGTGCACCTGAAGTCCCAAGAAACCTCGGGCCACTTTCCAAACTCCTTAAAAACAATCAACCCTCATATGTACAGCGGAGGGGCGTCTGTGTTCTTTTCAGGCGGGCGCCCAAAGAGGGGCGGGGTGTTCCGGGCTACAAATACACGCTTGTCTATGCTCAGTGTGGCAAACCTCTTAGGAGAAAAGATCTGTGTTGAGGATCTGACTCACTGGCTGCAAAATCCTAACGACACCTCCTTGGGAGTAAACCCACTGAAGAACGTGGGCTTATTTCCGAGTAGACACATTACCCCAACTCAGTGTAGGCTGGTTTTGCATAGCTAGCTAGATACAGATATTGGAGAGAGAGAGAAAGAGACTGCTCTCTACCAAAGTCTCCTGGCTGTTTCTGTGACCTCATAGCTAGCTAGATACAGATATTGGAAAGAGAGAGAAAGAGAACTGCTCTCTACCAAAGTCTCCTGGCTGTTTCTGTTTGTTTTTTTTTTTCGCCCCTTTTGTTTGCGGGGGGGGGGGGGTGACTGGTGAAAGCTAAGGCGAGGAGGGGGTTATAGCTAAGCTGCGTCGGCACAAAGGTGCGATCCCTATACCAAGGGGCTGGATTGAGTTCCTCAGGCTGCCCCATTCGTGGCTCTGACCGTGCAGCCGTGGGAGTGTCTCACGGTGCCTGTGCGGAAGACACTCTCCTGGGAGCGAGCGCCAGGGAAGAGACCTGGGAGTCGGATTGCTGGGTGACTTGTTGAGAAGAAGACGGTCAGATTCCCACCCGTTGCGCCGCTTTACTTGAACCCGGATCGCCACTGCTGTTAAGCCGAAGTGTACCAGGCAGGATCGGCGGTCAGCCCTATTAACAGCTAAACTGGTGAAACTGAACGGTTTAGATTGGGGCAGGTTCTTTAACGCGTCTGAAACCCTTGCTTTTAATATCTGCGATCCTGCGAGTGTTCAGGTGGCTAAGCCCTGTTGGTTTGAAGCAGCAGAACAAAGTCCGAGTCCGGTGGCACCTTTAAGACCCACCAAGTTTTGTTCAGGGTATGAACTGTCGTGTGCAGGCACACTTCTTCAGGTACAATGAAACGGAAATTACCGGTCCATACATATAGGTAGGGGGTGAGCAGTAAATTAACTTACAGCGTAACGAAGGTGTTTAATAGATTCAAGGACCAAACAGGAATAACAAGCTTAGTTTATATGGTCATCATTTGTTTGGGTTTAATTCTGGGGAAATAAATGTGTCAGAATTGGAGATTGATGTGTAAATGGGCCCTTCTTAATTGTGGAATGCTGAAAGTAATTAACTGAGACCCTGTTGTTAAACTCCATCCCTCACCTCTCAAGCAAGGAAACGACCTTGCAGCATCGTCTTCTTTGAAGCAGTGCTATTGGTTGTGTAGAGTTATCTCTCCTGTCCCCAAACCAGAGAAATACATTCCAGTCTAGCATTCCAAATTAAATTGTATTCTACTAGTCATTGTATTACAATCTACTATTCTAAACTATTATTCCAAATAAGAAATAGAATAAAGAGGAGGTATGGCCCTTCTGGGGGATTGGTGAGAATATAGATGTAAGGGCTGAATGAGGTTAGCATATGTAGTGAGATAAGAAACCAATATCCCTGTTAAGTCCTGGGGATTCCATTGCTCTGAGTGTTGTAATAACTTGCAACTCCCTTTCTAGTCTGTTCAGGAAAACGATAAAACAGTTACTTTCAGGTCACTCATTGACTGTCCTAGAGCTGGAATGTCCTGCAAGAGTTGTTGGTGAAAATTATACTCTTCATAGTTGCCTACGAGTTTTACCCAGAACAGGAAAGTCTGTGTACCCCAAGAACCTTAGGAGGGTCACCCTGACCCCCCCCCCCCGAATTTAAAAGTCGAGGCAAGGGAAAGGATAAGGGAGACAGAGAATTCTCTTCCATTCTGTCGGAGGATCTGTAGGTTAATCCCCAGAATCTCTCCCAAGATCTCCCACTTGCTACTCATTCATAAACTGTCAAGGGAGCTTTGTGGCATCCAAGCGAGCAGTTCCGTTGTGGGTCCCACTCCATTCGCAGGCACCCCCTCTAAAAGGGTCGTACTTTTGTGTACCTTCTGTGTTGGTGGAGGAGGGGTTGTTTTTCAGCGCATTCGGGGGAAAAGAAGATACAAGAGATTTTTTTTTTTTTTTTAAGGAGTGTTAAAAGACAGATGACATGGGGCTGATCTGGGACTTCTCTGCATTTCGTTCTCTTTCTAGCAGCTGCATAGTAGGGCGTGGATCGGGGCTATCAGCAGAGCCCTGAAACCCACCCAGAACATTTTAGGGGTTTAAAAAAAAAGTTTTCATTGGGCAAAAGGTGGGACTTTAGTTTCTGAGATTTATTTTCACTTAAACGGACTTTAAAAATGCTTACGCTAAAAAGCGTTTCTTACTCGCCTGCAGGACGTGCATACGGAAGTGTAGATACTCGAACCCTGATCCCAAGGGCCTTGAGGATTGCACTGACTGGCTTCTTGAAAGGAAAAAAAAAATGCCTGAAAGCAGTACGTTGATTTGCTCGAGAGTTCCGACAAAGCCCCTCCCCCCGCCTTTGTTGATCCTGTCGTGTTGCAAGCAGAACAGTTCGGACCCTAGGAGTAAATCTCATTGAGCTCAGTGGTACTTACTTCTGAGTAAACGTGCCCAGGATTTGGGGCCGCACGAAAGGGAAACAAACCAAGGTTCAAAGTTATCCTAACCCCCCCCCCCGCCCCATGCTTGACTAGAACAAGGATAAATGACAGGCAAGTGTACTTTTTAAAAATTCCAATAAATATGAAAACCGGCTTTAAATAGCCGGGTGTCCCAAAGCGTCACAAGTGTATTAATGCTGGTTCTCAGGAAGCAGGATTTGGGGATAAGTGGGACTGGGGAGGTCTGGGTTCCTAACATATTGGTGAAGATTCTCCATTGCCCAGGTCACCCAGGCTTGTTCGCTCGCTTGCTTCGGTGTCTTTCCGCTCACAAAACCTACTTATGGAGCGCCCTGGAACAGCAAACCAACTATGGGCACGGTCCAGCCAACGCACAAAGTGCCAAAAGGAATTACTTCCCACGCAGTGCTGCTCCCTCTAAGCTGTGGAGCCCTCTGAGAAAAAAAATATACCTTGTGAGCTACTGGCGTTGAAGTTGGTGAGCGAGTGATTTGGCTACTGCATAAATTAGTTTGCTCTGGAGCCCTCCTTCCTGAGCTAAGGCAAAAATGTGTGAGCCGGAGGCTAAAAAACTGCGAGCTAGCTCTCACTAACTCAGCTTAGAGGGAACACTGCTTCCGAGGAAACACGGATAGGAGAGGGCTGCACTTCTAGTTGGGTTCAATGCCTATTTTACTAGGAAGTAAGTCGAATTAAATCCAGTGGGGACTTATCCCCGTGCATAGGACCGTAGCCTTAAAAATGGACCGCGTTTGGCTGGATCGTGCCCGAGGCTGCGATCCTGAGCGCATTTTCTCGGTTTCTAAATTCTGTAGGGGGGGGCGGGATCTTACTTCCCATGTGAGGCTTAGTGCTCTCTACGCGTCATTGTTATTAACGGCCATCAATACAACCACGTTTGGAAAGCAAATGGATATAGTCAGGGTGGCGTCGGTGTTGGGATGAACGGCTGTAAACATGTTTCACGTGATTGTGGATCCGTGTGACTTACTCGTGACGACTTGGCTACTTGCAAGAAAGTTGGGTCCCTCGAGGAGATGCTCTGGAATATAACATTTCTACCCCTCTTTCCGGCTCAACAAAGCGGGAGGAATTAACTGCTCTGTTGAATGCTCGCCCCGTCGCCCCGCTTACACCAGAGTAGCCTTAGGAAAGAGCAAGGGTCCAGTAGCACCTTAGAGACTCACAACATTTGTGGCAGGGGATGAGCTTTCGGGAGCCAGTTCAGAGTAACCTGAGTGGAGCTAGTTGTGTTGAGCTGCCTGGGTCTAATGCGGCGCAGGAGGCAGGACGCGGCGCCTTCCTTTTCACTGGTCCTGCAGTCCACA